AATTTCTAGAGGAATATGATATGCCCAAATCAGGATGATATACACGATTTAAACGGATCAATATCAAGCAAGGAAATAGAGGGTGCCATCAGAAGCCTATCAACCAAGAAAAGCCCAGGACCAGATGGATACACAACTGAGTTCTACAAGATCTTCAAAGAACTAACACCAGTACTTCTCAAACTATTTCATGAGATATAAGAGGGAATACTTCCAAACACATTCTATGAGGCCAATATCACCCTGACTCCAAAACGAGACAAGGACACATTAAAGAAAGAAAACTTCAGACCAATATCTCTAATGAATATAGATGCAAAAATTTTCAATAAAATTCTGGTAAATCGAATACAAAAACATATCAAAAAAATAGTACACCGGGACCAAGTGGGGTTCAGGGATGCAAAGTTAGTTCAACATACGGAAATCAATAAATGTAATTCATCACATCAATAGACCCAAAGATAAAAATCATATGATCATCTCAATAGATCCTGAGAAAGCATTTGATAAAATACAGCATTCCTTCATGTTCAAAATGCTAGAAAAACTAGGGATAACAGGAACATATCTCAACATCGTAAAGGCTATCTATGCTAAGCCCCAGGCCAATATCACTCTAAATGGAGAAAAATTGAAAGCATTCCCTCTAAAAACTGGAACAAGCCAGGGATGCCCTCTGGGCAACTTGGTGACACCCTGTCTCAAGAATATATCACAGTAGGGGCTGGGATTGTGGAGTGCTTGCCTAGCACGTGCGAGAACCTGGGTTCAATATTCAGCACCACATAAAAATAAAGGGGGGCTGGGGTTGTGGCTCAGCGGTAGAGCGCTCGCCTCACATGTGTGAGACCCTGCGTTCGATCCTCAGCACCACATAAAAAAATAAATAAGTGAAATAAAGGTATTGTTTCCAATTACAACTAACTAAATAAATATTTTAAAAAATAAATAAATAAAGGTATTGTGTTCAAATACAACTAAAAAAATATTTTAAAAAGAATATCACAGTGAATTTCATCTTTATGTATAATTATAATGCACTAATTTAAAGAAATAGAAGAAAAATCACTAGAAGAAAGGAAAGGGAACAGGAGGAGGGAAGAGAGAAGGGAAAGGAAAAGTAGTAGGGACTGAATTGGAGTAAATTATATTCTGTTCTTGTCTAATTATGTCACGATGAACCCTAATATTATGTATAACTAAAACGAGGTAATAAAAAAGAAAATAAGAAGGACTGGGGATGTAGCTCAGTGGTGGAGTGCTTACCTAGTACACACAAAACCTTGGATTCAATCCTCAGTAAAATGAATGAAACCAGTTGATTCTTTGAAGAGGTTAATGAAAAGTTCATTTAGCTACATTGAGAAAGACTTAGATTATTAAAATCAAATGAAGATGGGAACATCGCTTCTGATTCTATAGAAATAAAAATGAGTATAATGGAATACTATAAACAAGTGTATCCAACAAGTTGGTTAACAGATGAAATGGAAAAATTTTTAGAAAGGCAAAACTGAAGACAATCATTAGGAAATAGTAAATTTTAATAAACCTGTAATTCACAAGGAGATTTAATTAGTAATCCCAACATTTTAAAAACTGAGGAACTACCTCAACTTAATAAAGGTCAGATATGGGAAAATCCCCAGCTAAATCGTAATGTTGATAGATGGAAAATTTTACATGTAAGATCAGAAGAAAGGTAAGAAAGCCTGCTCCTCCCTTTCTGGTTTAATATGCTACATAGGCATAGCAATTAGACAAAAAGCAAATAGAGATCAAAAGTTGGAGGATGAAGTAAAATCTCTTTTCATAGATTCTAAAGATCACACACACACATACACACACACGCACACACAGAGTTAAAACTAATGATTTCTGTAAAGTTGTAGGATACAAACTCAATATTTGAAATTCAGCATTATTTTTATATACTAATAATGACCAATCCAAAAAGGAAATTAAGAAAACAATCCTATTTATATTAGCATCAAAAAGAATGTATACTTAGGAATAATCCAAGAAGGAAAAATACTGAAAACTACAAAACATGAATAAAGATAAATCAAATACAAAAACAGGAGGCAAGAGAGGCAGGGAGGAGGGAAGCCATCCACTGTTCCCAGATTGGAAGTCTGTAAACCTGGGGAAATCTACAGATTCAGTGCAACCTCTATCAAAATCCCATGAGATCTTTTTTCTTTTATTGCACAAATATGAAAAAAAAATCCTGAAATTTATATGGTATCTCATGGGACCCCCAAACAGACAAAACAATCTTGAAACAGAAGAACAGTGTTGGAGAACTCATATGTTCTGATTCTTAAAAAATACTACAAAGCAATGGTAATAGACATTGTGGTACTGTCCTAAAGGCAGATGTATAGACCAAGGGAACAAAATATAGAACTCCAAAATAAAACCTTCCACACACAGTCAGATGTCCTCAACAAGGAGACCAAGAATAGACAGGAGACCGAGAGTCTCTCCAAGTTTTGGAAAAACCTGATATGTACAGGCAGAAGAATGAAGTTGGACTCTTCCTCATAGGACAACACAAAAATACAACTGAAGCTGAGTGTGGTGGTACACACCTGAAATCCCAGCTATTTGGGGGATTAAGGCAGGAGGATAGCAATCCCAAGGCCAGCTTGGGAAATTTAGTGAAGTCCTGCATTAATAAAATATAAAAAACAGTTGGGCATAGTGATGCATGCCTATAATGTCAGCTACTCAGGAAGCTGAGCTGGAGAATGGCAAGTTTGAAACCAGCCCAAGCAACTTAGGGAGAATTTGTTTCAAAATAAAATAAAAAGGTCTGGATATGCACCTCAGTGGTAGAGGCCCAGTGTTCAATCCCCGGTACCATGGGGGTATGGGGAAGAAAAAAAAACACTCTAAAAGGGTTAAAGACTTAAATGTAAGACTTAAAACTTCTAGGAGAACACATGGGTGGAATTCTTCATTACATTGGATTTGGCAATGATTTATTGAATATGATACCAAAAGCAACGCCAACTAAAGCAAATTAGACAAATAGGACTACATCAATATTTAAAAATTTTGTACTAAAGGACATTATGAACAGAGTGAAAAGACACTACAGAATGGGAGAAAATATTTGCAAAACTCACATATGATAAGGGATTTATATCCATAATACATAAAGAACTAAGATTCAACAACAACAAACCAAGTATAGACAAAGGACTTGAACAGACATTTCTCAAAAAAAATCCACAAATTGTCAAATAAGTATATGAAAATATGTTCAGCATCACCTAGTCTTGGGGAAATGCAAATTAAAAAAAAAAAACGGTGAGATACTACTACCTCTACCCATTAAGGGGACTAAATCAAAAACAACAAAAATTTTAAAAGTGTTAAGATGTTGGCTAGAACCTATGGCTGTGGAAATAGACTTTTTTCCCTTAGTATTGGTGATTGAAGCCCATAGGTGCTCTACCATTGAGCTACATCCCCAGTCCTTTTTATATTTGTTTTGAGATAGGGTCTTGCTAAATTGTGCAGGTTGGCCTTGAACTTGCCATCCTCCTTCCTCAGCTGCCCAACAGGCTGTGATCATAGGTGTGTACCACCATCCCCAAAGGGAACAGACTTAAAAAAAATAGACAAGTGGGCTGGGAATGTGGCTCAGGAGGTAGCGTGCTCGTCTGGCATGCGTGCGGCCCGGGTTCGATCCTCAGCACCACATACCAACAAAGATGTTGTGTCCGCCGAGAACTACAAAATAAATATTAAAAATTCTCTCTCTTTAAAAAAAAAAATAGACAAGTGCTGCCGGGTGTGGTGGTACATGCTTACAATCCCAGCAGCTTGGGAGGCTGAGGCAGGAGAATTATAAGTTCAAATTCAACCTTAGCAACTTAGTGAGGCCCTAAGCAACTTAGTAAGGCCCTAAGCAACTCAGTGAGACCCTGTATCTAAATAAAGTACACAAAGGGGTTGGGATGTAACTCAGTGGTTAAGCACTCCTGGGCTCAATCCCAGGTACCAAAAAAAAAAAAAA